TTACCAAAAAAAAAAAAAATAATTTGACTTACTATTAGTAAAATTTTTTTGTAAAAAAAAAAACACATGTGAATATTTAGTAACAAAATGTAAATCTCATTCTTTTTGTAACAAATTTTGAGATTTTTATGCCAAATCTGGCTTTCATTTTTTTCATATCACTTTTTTTTTTAATCAAAATATGAATCCTATTTTTCTGTTCAAATTTGGAGATTCTTATGCAAAAAACGTGTTAATTATTTATGAAAATAAACCAAAATACATATTAATTTAAAAACCGTGCAAATTGGATACAAATTTAGGAAATAAATAGTTGTATAATTCTGAACAAATTCTTCCAATTTTTTTGAATATTTTTTTGTGTGCAAATTGAATAAAATCACGTGCAATATTTATTTTAAAATAAAACTGAGATTTGGATTGGATATGTCTCAAAATCGTATCCACATCTTTTGATAACAAAATCGGTTCATCTTTGAAACTTAAAGTCAAACCTTATCCAATTATGTAGGAAAAAATTCAAATCATTCTCAAAATCGCGTGCAACTTTTACAAAGAAAAATCATGTGCAACTTTTCAAAATGTGAATGCACCAATTTTTTTGATTTTTATGTTTTTTCTTAACCACGTTTACCGAGATTTTGTTAAGTTCATATCAATTTTTTTGTTAAGTTCATCTTAATTTATTTAGGAACAAAACAGTTGCATAAATCTTAACAAAATTCCGAGTTTCTTTTTATAATTAATTTCAATTCAATTTTTTTTGGTAAAAAAATCGGTGCAATATTAGGAAAATTCGGTTGCATTTATAAGAAAATTTGATATTTCATTTCACTTTGTTTTAACCACATATTTGGTTGTTAACTAAAGAATTGGTCGGGGAAGGAGAGAGAAAAAAGAAATGAAAACCCTGAAAATCCGAACTTATGGCCTAATGTTTGTTTAATTAGTGTCGATGTTATGGAACATAGTCCAATACTTGATATATCTTATGAAAAATGCTACAAGTATATAATAAATGTACATATAAGTGTACATAATACTCATATGGAATGAGATCCACTTGATTTTTTATTTTTGGTGGGTCTCACTCAATATGAGTGTTATTTACACCCTTATGTACAATATTATATAAATATAACATTTATTTTATTTTATATCCAATTAAACAAATGTTATTGTAGTCATTATTATTATTATTATTATTATTATTATTATTATTATTATTATTATTATTATTATTATTATTAGCAGCCATATCTTTTCAATTTTATTATGGCTATATACAAATTACTTTCGAAAAAGCACATAAATTATCATTTTCCCGTGCATCGCACGGGGGATTACTAGTAACTTATAATTTATGACTTATAGCTGAAAAACTAGCTTATATGATAAAAGTGTTTGGTAGAATTAGTGAATAAAAAGTTTAACGAGCTTATTTGAAAAGCTACCCAAAGAGCTTATGAGATAAGCTGAAGCTTTTTAAAATAATTCGCTCTACCAAATGAATCTTATTTGAATACAAAGCCTACCCAAAAAAAAAAAAATTATTACCTGTCGGGAATTATGGTCCGTCTAAACCCTTCGAACCTCCTGTGGCCCTGCACGGCTTTAGCCATATTCCCATCATACGTGTAGACAAAGGCATCACTCTCAAGGGCTATGATGTAATCAAGTGCCGCTAGCCGGTTTTGGTACGGGCTAAAGGGCTTAAGTTCCTCGTCCGTGGCAAGTGTCGAGTGGGAAAAAACGTTCGGGTACTCGGTTTTTAGAGCATCCATGCTATTTTTCCCGTAAATCTCGCCAGCCACAATGTATATACGAGTCGATGAAGGGTAGCCCATAGACTTGAGAAATAGAGCCGCCTCTCGTGGGGACATTGGGCAGCCTCCTTCGAGCCGTTTTTCCTTGCTGTCGATCTCTTTTTCTTTCCAATGCTTCACATTGTACCTCATCACACGAAGCTCGTTAGCTTCGTCTGTGGTTAGGTTGTGATTGCAACCCGTGAACGCGAGCATGTCCTTTTCGTACCTAAGGATAGCAAGAAAAAAAAATAAAAGTAAGATTTAGGATGTGTCTTGGTAAGCATGATTAGCTTATAAACTTCTTGTATTCAAATAAGTTTCGTTTGGTTAGGACGAGCTTTTTTAAAAAGCTCGTCTCATAAGCTCCCTTGAGTAACTTTTCAAATAAACCCATTGAAATTTTTATTTCAGCTAATTTTACCAAACACTAGCTTTTCAGCCATAAGCCATAATTCATAAGCTATTAGCTAATTTTACCATATACATTTACCAAACATTAGCCTTAACAAAAGTTTGTGAATTGTCTTGAGAAATTAGTTTTAATTTATTGGTATTACAATTACCTCAAGTGAAGGGCAATGTAAGGTTCTCCCTCATCCCGAAGCCTCTCTACAAGTTTCTTGCCGAGGTCCTCAATTTCGGGCGTGTAGCGAAGGGCCTCGTAATTCGCTCTGCATCTCAGTTTTTGTATAGACGAGGCTAGGCCATTGTTCACGAGCCTCGAGTCAGTGTGTGTGAACATGATAACTTTGTGCTTCTTTAGCAAAGGGAGAATCTCCTTTCTGTAGTAACTAGCCTAGTTTCAAGTTTCAACCAAAAACAAACAAAGAATGTAAATTCTTTAAATTTGCTTTTCAACTAACTCAAAATGAATCAAATTTAGAACACAACTGCAAAACCGAATTTACTATTGAAAAATACAATAATACCTTAGACCAAGAAACAGGTGCTTTGATCAGGGGCTTAACTGATGCATACTTCTTGGGCAGCTCTTCGACTATCTCGATGTCATCTTTCAACACCTCGATAAAACGCCTCCAGTCGAAAATATCCTTAAAATCGCTGTCATTTAAAATAAAATTAAAAAATTCAGCTCGTGAGCACATTTGACAACACGCAAAAAATGCCCATGCTCGATGAGGAAAATAAAAATAAAATTATTACCTAGGATCTGTCCAAAAGCTCTGGTGATCGAGCGAAGGAAGAACGAGAGTGGCGTTCATAATCTTAGCTACAGCAACCATGTCACATATCTGGGCACAGCGAGTCGAACAAACAAAGATAGTAAACAACACGTTACATGTCACATATCTGGGCACAGCGAGTCGAACAAACAAAGATAGTAAACAACACGTTACAAACAAACATTTAACCGATTATATGTTGGGATTAAAACTGATCGATTTATCTTCTTACTCCGGTTCTCATCTGATTCAATCCTCCGTTTGCGTGAATCAAGATGTATCCATTTGTTGTCCTCTGAGTCCCTAAAGTATGTGAAAAAAACACATAAGCACAAGCAAAATACTGGTTTAAAGCAAAGATTTTTAATGAAAACCATTGGGGGCTGAAAAAAAAAAGAAGAATTGTCACTTACTCTTGTAATTCCTTGGTCTGGCTATGCATTGGTAAAAGTTATCACTATTGGGCTTCATCCATATTTCTGGGACCTGTCAAAAAACAATAAAAATCCAATCTTTAGCTCAAAAAATCCAATCTTTAGCAGCTAATGTTAAAAATTCACAGTTCCCATGTGTGAAATTTACCCTATCATGAGGATGTAGAATGCAAAGAAAAATAAAAGAATTAAAGTGTGCCCAAGCCAATACATTCCTCTTTTGAATATGGTTTTTATATTTTTAGGAAAATAACAGCACAACGGTCAAAAAGTCAGTGCAAACCCCACTTTTCACACGGGACAATAATAGGAATGGAGGTCAACCAGAAACCCATTAAGAAATTTCAATCCCTAAATTAGTGCTGCTGCCCCACTAACTTCTTTTTTGTGTCAATAAATAATTAGGGAAATGCTATTGTCCCGGTACCATACCGTCGAGTGTTTTAACCGTGAGATACACATGGAGTTAGTATAAGATAAATAATCCAACGGTTAAAATACCCGACACACCGGATAGTACCATGGTCCCGTTACAATGCCATCCCAAAATAAACAACCCAGAAAAGCCCTCTCATTCAATTAAACAGCATAAATTAATTCTCAGTTAATGCAATATATTCCATGGGAAAAAGAAAAACAAACTTCCATAATACCGTGTCTTTTGGATGGTGGAATTTAGTGCAGTGACTTTAGATTGGTGAGTTAGCCAAAAAAAAAAATAAAAAAAATACACATTCTTGCCAGCCAAAAACATGGGATGTCCAGATAATAATATCCGACTTTTACTTTTATTAATTAAAAAATGGCCTTTGGAAATTCATCTTCTTGAAGCAAATCAACAATGAGAATTAAGGAGGAAAAGAAGAACATAATAATTCAAGAAATCCCTAAATTCTTATCCCTTGACGCCATAAACTCCACAATTTCGGCCCTTTCTAAAAGAAATTAACAAGCTTTAGCAAAAAAAGTCAAGCAAAATGTGAAAAAAAAAGGAAGACAAAAGGTTGCAACTTTAGAGATTACATAATACTCACCGGAAACTCCTTCATCTGCCGCTTTTGCACCGCGCCGCCGCCGGAAGACGACTCGGAGTCCAAAACCGCTTTCTGAGCATTAAAAATCGAATCTTTATTGAAATTCTGAACAAGAAAGACCTCTTTCTCCGCCGTCGCGTCCCTCCCGCCGGCTCCGCCGCCGATCGAGAACGATAGCTTCAGAAAAGCCGATACGGCCACCAACGCCAGGAGGAACACAAAGACCGTGCGGCCCATGTTCTTCCTCGAGTTCAGGGCACCCCACGCGCCGATGGCCCAATTCTCCGGCAGCCTCTTGCGCAACAGGAAGTACCTAATCACCGGATGGTGGTGGTGGTGGTGGTTCAAGGAGCCGTACACGTACGCACCGCCGCCGCTGCAATTTCCTGCGGCGGCACCGAACATCGAAAGCGCCTCCTCGTCCACGTCGCTCTTGGAGTGGTCCAGGACGGCCGGCGCGTGGTCGGCAGGCTTCTCCCTCTCCGAGAGATCGACCGCGGAGTCGGCGACGCGGCGTCGGTGGTGGGTGACGCAGGCGCCGCCGTTGACGACCGTGGCGGAGGCGGTTGCGCTGGAGGGACTGGTACTTCCGCCGCTAGACATTGGTTGGAAAATACACATAGGGGTTGGGGAAAATTTTTTCTCCGGTCAACTGAATTGTGGAGAAAATGGGGAGGAGAGAGAGAGAATTATGGACGTAGAGAGAGAAAGGAGGGGATGGCAGAGGCCATGGACGGTGAGCCGTTGCTCTGTTTTGTTTGTGTGTGTACTTTTTGTGCTGTATATATATATATATTGTACGGTGGCCAAAGAAAAATATTATTAGTCTACTTTCATTCCCCTTTAATTTATTTTTCTCTTTATATATATTCTATTTTTTTTCCCTTTTTTTGCAAATAATAATTATTAGATGATCATATTCTTTTAAATATAAATACATAACTCCAAGCTTAAGAGTTTGTATTGGTTTAGAATTTCTTAAGATTTTTAAGAGTTTGTATTGGTTTAGAATTTCTAAACATTTTTAATACTTCAGGATTCCTATTGTATTTAATAGTAAGATATTTAACTTATTTGAGATTATAATTTGTTAAGAATTAAAAAAAATACATTTTCATTAAAAATGTCATTCAAAATCACAAACGAATCCTCCGAAACGTCATACTTTACAAAACCAACAAAAGCAACAGTATGAAATCTCATATTAAAATATGCAACTTTGTTATAAAATAATTACGTCTAGTCATGCGGAACAATTAGGCCGTTTCACGCACCAACTCGTTATTAAAATTTTATCAATTTAGTATTATTTATTCTATTCATTTTACCTCCTTTTCTTATAATTGGTTAAGATAATATATTTTTTTTTAATAGAAAAATACTACAACCATTAAGGATTGATTCTGTGAAGGTTATTAGCCTTTACATATACATATAAGTTAGTTATTGTAAATAATCGTTAAAAACTCTCACATAATCATTATGTGACGGGATTGTAGTCTTCCGCATCGAACATGTCTAAAGATAAATATGTCTAACGATTAGTCAACTATATTATACTATTGTGTGCGTATTTTGGACACAGATGAGTGAGGGATTCATGTGATTGGGCAGTTGGGCCTTTGTATTGGTTGCCATTACTCATTAGTAAAATCCTCTCCATTTGTGCCAATGTATGGGTCAGTAGTTTTTTGTCGACATTCCAATTTGACTTTTTACCTTTTCTCTACGTATGTAATTTAGGTAAATCTCATGTTCAATTGTGGGTGAATTTCCCCCTACTTGTAAATCAATATACCGTACTGCCATGGAATGGTTCCGTGAGAGATTTTAGTCTTTAGATTTGTATGCAAATTAGTTGTTATAGATAATCTATAACTAAAATCCTTCACGAAGCCATTGCGTGACTGGACTGCAGTATTTTTCGTAAATATGATGTACTTTATTTAGTGGACATTTACTAAGGGGAAGATGTAAGTATTTGTGTAGAAGAAAATAGTGATATGCTTTCATTGATTTTAAATATAATGTGATAGGCAAAACAATAAAATAATTATAAGTATTTGCATAATATCATAGTTGATTGATATTTTTATTTCGAGTGGAAAAACCTAGTCGAAAGAGGTACTGATAATTAATTATAATAGTAGCCCGTATCAAAATAATTGATAACTATTTTTGACATAGTATCTAATAAATTTGTTAAATAGAAGTTAAATCTACTATAGATATAATTTAAATTATTTGAGTAGTGTATGTATAACATATGAATAATAAACCAAAATTTACCTATTCAATATAGTTGAATATAACCGACAATGTATATAGAGTCCCAATTGTGACATGGCCTCAACCAAGGCCACTTACAGCACGATAAAAGGACTTTTTATTAGTTACCAATGTGTAAAATGGACTCTTATTCCATCAATCTTTTGTGACTATTAAAGTTTTTTTTTTTTCTTTTT